CTTTTAATTTTATTAACAATCAATATTTCAATGTAACAAATCAAATGTGTTTTTATTTACAACATTGATTTGAAATTTGCAATAAAAAACATAAATATTGATTTGTAAAAAGATAATGATCAACAGTACTTAATTTAATTTTACATATTATTTTCATTAACTTGTATGTACATCATCAATTACACAATTGTTTGTATAACAAGAAAACGTATAATTACAATGATAACATCAATAATACAAACATTCTATGTGAAATACAATAAAGAAATAATATTGTTTGTTTTGAATAGTAACTAAATAAAACAAATATTTTAATTTTTATATATTCAATTAAAAATGATAGTGATAGTTTGATCAAATCAACAACTAAGTTGACCAGTTCATATTTATTTGTAAAGAAATTACATCAATTCTTATTTCAACACACAAACAAAATGTTTGTGTTTATTCAAAAATAATACTTTAAATAATAATAAACTATATGAATAGTATAGTACTTGAATTACAACACCACTGTATCATAAATATAGTATAAATTGAATGTATATATAGTATTAAATAGTACAATTTGAGTAAATGAGAAAAAAACTCGAATCAAGACAAGTACTATAATAAATAGTAAAAGTAGTTAAATAGTGATAGTACATGAAAAAAAAGTAGTAACAGGGTTAGTGTATTATATATATTAATAATATTTATTATGTATATGGTACAACTTAATAAGAAATGAAATGAAAGGAAAAGACTTCGAGAGTTGCCTTGAGCGTCGTGTGACGACATTAAACGGGTGTTTTGATCCATTGATGAGTGCGTTGCATGCGTATGAAGAGAAGAGTCGGACATGTTTGTCTGGAGATTTGTTGATGAAAAGTGGAGAAGACGCAGTGAATGAGATGTATGACGTCTTAGAGAGTGTTGAGAGATGTGAGTCGTTGTACAGTGCTGTGATGCGAGAGACGAGTCGATGTTTTGAAGTGAGTAAAGATCTGATGTATTTGATCAAAAGTGTTGAAGAGAAGTGTCGGAGTGATTATAAAAGTATTTTAGCAATGAAGAAGAGTGCCATAGTGATGTTAGAAGCGAGTGAGAAACGATTGAGTTGTGAAGAGATGCGAGTGAATGTGATGCGTCGTGAAGTTCTAATGACCAAGTTGAGTACAAATGAAGCGGAAGAAATTGCACGACACGATACGACCGGATCACACGACTTATGTGACACAACAGAAGACATAATACCAGTGAATACTGTTTGGACGAAGTGACAGAACATGACAGAGTGGAGTGAAAGGTGAGAAGATGTCATCAGTCGACAAGAATGTCAAATTGAGTTGTTCAGAGAAGTCACAACAACAACTTGGAGAAGATGAAAATTTCTTAAGTGTTGAAGAGAAGGCAAAATTAGTCGTGTGGAGTGGAAGACAACACATGAAAGCGGTGTTTGACAGTGAAGTAGATTGTATGGGGCGTGGGAGTGCAAAATTCTATAAAACGATCAGTCGCTGTGATGGTGTTGTGATAGTGATAGACAGTACAAATGGGTGTCGTTTTGGTGTGTTTGTAGCAGCAAAAGTCGAGAAGAATGGGGAGTACATAACTGACGAAAATGCTTTTGTGTTTCTTCTTCGTGACAATGGAAAAGAGAAAATGAGAAATTTTTATCAAAGAAAAGAAAGAGGCGTTTTGTGTTGGTGTTTTGAATTCAAGTTGTTTGTTCACAGCAGGTAATGAAGACTTGAAAGTACCACGGAAGATGAAATATTTTGGTTTCTTATTACAAATGAATTCAAACGACTACGGCATCGAAAATTAAATACTTGATAGAAATTTGGAGACTTGAAAAGACAAGTCAGAAATTTGAAGGTCGACAAATTTGTTGTTTTTGATATGCGTTGCAAAAACAACTCAAAACAACAAAACAGCGAAAAAGAAAAAAAAAGAAAATAGATACACAAAATGTCCATTTTAATTTGAACAAAGAAGACTCGATTATCAATAACAACAAATATCAAGACTCAACACGACCGCGGCATAAATTAAAACACAACAAGTCACAAATATAAGACAAAATGAAGACTTCGTATTTCTTATTGAATTTATGTTTTATTTGTTAATTTGAATAACATGAATAACAACAAATCAACTCAATTGACGTTTTACCGTGTCAATTTTTGTCATAATTACAGTTGTAGTACGCAGACTGAAAAACTCAATAACACGACATGAAGGCAACAAACTTATACAATAACAGTGCAGAAAGTACTCAATAACCCCATATCTTGATACTCTGATTTGAGGAAAAAATAAAAAATAGCTGCACTATCCATATGAACGGTGAAGACATCATAAAGAAACTTGATGAAGTGAAATATCTTTTTAAGAGTTTTATATTATTAAATTATTACTATAAATGTAATTAATTTTACTAAAACAATGATATATATAAAATATTTTAAAACAATAGGTACTAAACCTACTAACTATCGTTTTATTAAAGTTTAGTTCTACAAAGAGAAGAAGTTTATAAATAATATATAACAATAATAGGATGTATTTAATTTGATTAATTAAACACCTTTTTAAAGAGTAAATGTACATGCAAATGATTGTTTAAAAAACATATACTCATTTAGATATACCTGTCACTAAATGATGGAGTAATTTTTATTTTAGTATAACAACTGTAAAATAATAATTTATTTAAAAAATAAACATTATTTTGTTGTTATATAAGGGAAAAGATATATTTAGTTTTTAAATAATATTTATGTATTTTATTATTTAAAACAACACCTAAGAAACAAAAATGTTTGTTATCAACAATAAATTTGTATTTTGATTACATTTTGTTTTTAAGACAAAACACAATGTTTATGTTTTTCTTTGTAAAATGATTTTGTTTGTGTGTGTTGTGAATTGTCAAGTTTTTCAGTTTGATACTCTTCGTTGTATTTTTTTCCATATTTGATGTGTTTTATCGCAAGAGTTTAAATTACCTCTTTTGTGCCAGCTCCACTCTGAACAGAAATTACAAAATAATCGATGCCAAACTTCTTTGATAACTTTATTCCTTCTAAAGTGGAGACACATCGACTTTCTTCCAAATCACATTTGTTCCCACATAAAACGATATTTGGGTATTCCACAACACTGTGTTTTATTTTGAAACAGTTTTTTATGTATTTTTCCGATCGTTCATAAGATTCCGATAAAGTGATAGAGTATAATATAATAATAACATAAACATTTTTAATAAATGCTTCTGATAAGGATCTAAAGCAATCTTCAAAAATCAAAATATAAAAATCAAATTTGAGAGTTGATTAAAAGAGTTGTATATGTTGAATATGTTAT